ACAAGCTCGATGAAGAGCTCGACGACGACCAGAGGAACCGAGCGGCCACCAGGGGAGGCTGCCTTGTTGGACGCCTCACCCCTCCATGGAGAGGCAGCGAGGCCCAGGGGGCTCAGCTCCCAGAACCCAACGGCTCAGTGGCTCACTCTGAGCCGAGAAGGCTAAAAGGGCATCCTTTTTTGGGTTGGTTGAGCTTAAAGGGGAACCCTTCCCAAAAAATAAGGAAAGAAGGGCGCCACTGGGCAAGTGCATAAAGCGTAGTGGAGGCTTCCTTTTTGACCAGCACAAGTCAACATCTGCTTGGCCCGATGCACTTACAGAGCTCCTGCCTTGTGCCCACATTCACTATTTTCAGGCTGGTGCCATTGGTTGTCACTTGGCTTCATGGAAGAGCTGAAAAGCTGTGGCAAATGCCGTTTGTTCAGTCCGTCATTGAGACCATCTCCCTTGAAGTGGAGAGGCAACTCTGAAGTGCTCAAGCGGGGGTGGCGGGTGGCGTGAATCGTCAGAGTAAGGCGCAGCCAAAAAATGAAAAATGCTCCCGCCCGTCCCCGGGCTGTCCTTGACCAGATCGCAAATTTGCACATTCACCGCCTTCAGCACAGGCGCGGCACGCCCCACCCGCTTCTCTAAAGCCTCGTATAGAGGAAGAAACCAGAGTCAAACACAACCAGAAACATGCTCTCAAATGACAAGAGCCCATATCAAAAGTCTGAATCCAACCCTAATGTCACACCCGCCGCTGGTGTGATTGCTTGCTCACCTGAACCGGAGTGGGCACCCGCTCCCACTTGGCGAGTTGTTCTCTTAAGATTCCTGTGCAAGACTTGCAAACCGATGCACGGTCGCACTTGGGCAGCCCCGCCCACTCGATGCTCGAGGAGCTCAGGGCCACGGAGAGGGCGTCGTTCAGCTGGCCGAAAGATCAATGGCCATGAAGTCAGGAGCCGTAATGAGAATCCGAGCCCTACAAAACGTCGGGTCCAAATGCTCAAATCACCACAAACTGCTCTCTGCCAATCATAATTCGTATTCAAAGAGGACAAGAGGACCATGTGATGTGGCATAAGAAGCTGCCTGCCACCGCGAAATGGCTGTTTCGATCTGGTTCTCATAACCCTTCCCTTCAATGCTCCCAAAGTGAATGCATTCATCGCTGCTGGCCCCACATCTGGGGGGCACGGAGCACCCGTCTGGCTTGGAACCTATGGCTCCAGCTCGCCTCTCTAGCTGCTGACATCGAAGCCCATGCTGAGATCCTGCCACAAATCAGTGACCGGAAGACATTGCAAAGACTCTGAATGCGCTCAGGAATGGATGAAACCACTTTGATGGCATCATTTCCGGCCTGGCACTTCAAATGGTCAGGACATGAGGATACCAGCCAGTGTAGCACAGCTGACTGCGTTGAATGGCTGTGGAGATGACTTTGTTGCGACAAGCAATCCAGCAGCCGGCTTGATAGTGTCCATGCTCGCTGCAGTGCTGATTCTGCCTGAATGGCTGACCTCTCGGACATAAAAATGCGAGTGGCTAGTGTGCTAGAATGGTTGTGGGGTTGCCCCCTGTAGGATGCTGGACAGTGGCTGCACACTTGAGCTGCCAGTCGGGCCACTGCATGCAGTCTCTGTAGGCTGCAAACTCGCTTGGTCGCGCAAAGCTACACATAATTGAGCCGTGTGGATGCAAATGGATTTGTGCTTTGCGCATGCCGCAATACCAAAACATCGTTACCCCCTTGTCCAGAAAGCTGACAAGAGTGGACTTTGTTGGTTTGACAACTGGCCCAATCTCAGTGCCGTTCCTTGCCAGAATGGGAAATAAGCACGGAACAAGACACAAGAGCCTTGCCACGTAGCGACTGAGCCAACGCAAAGAAGTGCCTTCTGCAACTGACAGCGCACATTCCCAAAGCAGGCTGAAGACTTGCCAAAGGCCTCGACTTCAGAGGAACTTGCTCGGCCTTGAGACGAGTAGAAAGGACTGATCTTTTGACGTTCTGCACAGTTGTCCGGAAGTGTTCGCAGCCTCGGCTGCAAATCCCTCGGTGCGTGACTAATCGGTGCCAGAAAAGACCCTGCTCTCCTTTCAGCCAAGAAAATTGGTTCATAACACAGGATTCTGCATGTTCTGGGTACAGCTCTACCTTGGCAAATCAAGACAACCCACCCACCACTTGTCAGGATTGAAGAAACATATAGGAACACACACATTCTTAGCACCACTTGCAATCAACACGGGGTACTTGCTCCAGCACATAAGCATCACACTACAAAGCTCTTTTCGCCGGCTCCTAGACCTAAAGTCCTTGAAAACCACAAGAAAAGTGGCGCACGAGGTCCGACCTGGTTGCTTTCTCTTGGCTGCACCCTAGATTCCATGTGGAGCCTCGTTGGAGTCATGTGGCCTGGAAAAGTTGAACTCGGAGCCCATCATACTGCCAACCACTGGGCCAAACCTTACTTTTCTAACATAAAGCGCAGAAGGACGAGCTGACCCCCCACAATCTTGCTTTTTCTTGGCATGTGCACGGCAAATGCACCCCGAACGTCCTGAGCTTGTGGCCTAGAGCACCGGTCGCCCAGTCTTGGAGCACAACTGGAATCCTTTGCAACTTCCGGTTGAGCGTCCAAAACACATCAGGCTCTAACATAGCCTGCGCATGCCACGCGCTCCATCCTGTAACAAAGAAACGGATTTGGGGCCGACTTCTTGGCCACTGAAGCTTGCTTACTTCCGGAATGACACCATCAAGCCATCGCTCTAGGGGTTGATTCCCCATTCTTCTCAACCATCGTTCTTTTCAAAAACCGGCTGTTTCCCTTGGGTGTTTGATGGTTTCCTGAAAAGAAGGATCCCTGGAAAGAATGGGAAGGTACCAGTAGAATCGTTGAATCGACGAGGAGACCGCAAAAAGTGGCTCCTAAGTCCAGCGGTCACATGGGCGATGGTCCTATTTAGTACCACTTTGGGCACTATTTTCTTGGTGACTAACAAGGTGCTGGGATTCGACACTTTGCGTCACCCTGTTGCCCGCGTCCTACTTACACTGCAAAGTAAAGACCATCATCGTTCTCTGCGCTTCTCATCGTGTCACTGTAATCCCCGCTGAAGCGCGCCCAGAAGTTGCCTGGGCAGGGTACAACGCCATCTGAGCTCTAAGACATGCATAGTTGTTGCTGCTTGCCGATATGCCACTCCCAGCAAGTGCATACAACCGGTATGGGTCAAAATCAAGCCACCAGGAATTGGACCGCAGGTTGTGGTCCATGTTTCCATTTACCTGGGCAAGCCATTTTGGGGTTACCCTATTTATGACAACCACAGTCAAACCGCAACACCATGCAAAGAGAGTCCTGAAGGCAGGAACTCCCCATCATGCTTCAGGGCAACTCGGCGGCACACTCCTATTTGGCCATGGGTCAAAAGCCAAAATTCCGTAGCCCCAGTGAACATCCCAATCCAACCACTAAAATAGGTTCTAAAATGGGTGGTGAATTCTCCAGAACGGTGTTGACCCAGAGCCATGTGTGAAAGGGGGCGCATTACCAAAGTATAAGCTCCAAGTTAGATGGCTCAATCCATGGTGATTCCACCAGTCAGTTCGCTGGGGCCGTACTGGCGTTTGCAAACACCCGTACTTATAGCCGAGTGACGGAGGAAGCCTCGGTTGTAAGGATTCTGGTAGCAGCCCTTCTCATCCAGCAAATAGGGAACAGGCCTGGCGTTTGGTGTGAGAAGCAATCAGAAGCAACCGATGTCTTCCTTGCCGACGGGGGAGGATCATGTCAAAATTGTGAAGAGTCACAACGTCCAGTCCCCAAACCCGCCACATGCTGGACTCAGCAGGAAACCTGGGCTCCCAAAGCTGTTCGGCTCTCAACGTTCCTGCCACAGCCTCACAAGCGAAAGGTGAAAGCACGTCCTACCAAACTGTTGCAATATTCATAAATAGAATGACCATGGGGGTGGTCATATGGGCGTGTTATTTTTGGGGGGACACAAAATCGTGGTGATTTCCCCTGGGTTTCCCTCCAAATCCACATAAAAGGGTAGCCTCAAAAAAACACACACCCACCAATAGGCCAACGCCAAGACTGATAAACCTCTTGCACTTGGCTCTACATTTAGTCTTCGGAATAAGCTACTCGTGACAGTGATTTGGTGATTCGAATCACCCCCCGGGACCAGTGGCCTTCTCTCTTTCCTTTCTCAGTCCATTTGGCTGTGGGTCAAAACCAATTGGATCCCATTTTGGGACCACCCACTTTAGCCTGTTTTAGTGGAGATTGGGATGTTCGCGGGGGGTACGATTTGGGTTTTGCCCTGTGACGGCAGTGAAGCTTTCGCGAAAAAAGCTTCGGAATCCAACAGCTCGAGGCTTCGACGCGATCCGGGCACCTGCGCCGCGCGAATTGGAGCATCTCGTAGGTGGTGAGGCCCAAAACGTTCAGCACTGTCTGAAAGCCCAGCAGAGCCCCCAGCAGCGACGCCACCACTATGAAGTAGGCCGCCACCACTGGCAACAATCTTTGAAAGGTGTGATGCGAGGTTTTGGAACAACATATTCAAATATTCTGAGCATGGGCGAATCGCTGGGGTCGATACACATCTTGGGTGTGAGAAAGATGAGTCAAAGCCCGACAAAACAAAGAGCAAAAGCCACGGTCGGTGGTGGAGTTCAAGTGACGCACAGACTCCTACAAATATTGAGACCCAAACAATCCCAAACAGTTTGAAGGTCGAGTTGCACGCAAAGGTGGTCATCGCAGCATGGTCCCACGGTTGAAAAAGCAAATACAATAAGCCATGGTTTGACACTCAGCCAATCTCACGCGAGGTGGCGCCAACTCAATGAACGTTGTGAAGCGGCAGCCCTTCTGTTTTCTTTGGCTCCGCTGTCCTGATGCCCTTCAACTCATCGGAAAGCTTCGCATTGCTCACCTCCCTCCGGAACTCCTCTGAGCCTTTCAGCTCCCGGAAGCGCCGGAAGGCCCGGGACGTGACCGGCCACGGCCCCGCCAGGTCGCAGCGCTTCCAGGGCCAAGACTTGATCTGGCTGGTGTAGCTGCGGACGAGCGAGAGCGGCCCCTCCACCAGGATCCGGCCCGGCTTTCCGAAGACGCAGAGGCCCGACAGCTTCGCCTGCTTGGCGACGTCCCGGATCCAGCGCTGCTTCCAGGGGGCCGAGATGTGGTGCATGTACATGGTTGCACGGACCAGCAAGTCGCTGGCGTCGCTTGTGTCGCTCACGCCGAGCTTGGACGGCTGCCATTGCACCCGTGCTTGTCGTCTTAGCCGCACGTCTGAGGGCGCCTTCTCCGAGTCAATGTACTCCTCACCCTCATCCTCAGACTCGTTGTACTCATCCTGATCGTCATCAGACTCCAATTCGTCGAACTCATCCTGATCTTCGTCATCAGACTCATCCGATTCGTGGTACTCACCGCTCTCCTCCCCGTCTTGCAGGCCCCAGGCGAGCTCGCCCAGCTGCTCCCGCTCTTGCCGCGAGAGGCTGCAGAGCTTCCTGTGCCGCTGCCGCACCGTGTCCTGGCGCAGCGGCAGCGCCATGATGGTTTGGCGCACCGCCTGGGCGGCGCGTGCGGCCTTAAGGCCGCCCAGGGGCTTCCTGCGTTGCTGGCGGGACCCCCCTGCAAAAAGTGAATCACTTTTTGGGGGTTTAGGGGAAACCCCTTGCATTTCCCAAAAAGTGAAAGTCTAAAGATCCAACCCAATAGCAGTCAAGCTTCCATCTGCTCTTCTTCTTGTCAAACGCCTCGACCAGGTTTACGAAGAGCAGCGCGTCCAAGTGGCCCAAATCTGCGGGCCAAGGGCACGACAATTGGAGCGCGCGACAGCACTCATGGATCACCGACAAAACGTCGCCCACGCACAGCGGCAAGTCCGCCCCAGTAATGCCCGGCTCGAGCTCGGTACGCAATGTGCCCTTTTCCTCTTGGATTGCCATCTCCACCGATCGCCGGAGCTCTGCAATCTGCTTCCAATCGCTGGCCTGTCCACTCAGCGTGAATTCAAGAAACCACAACAGTGCGCAAAGCTCGCTTCTCTCCAAGGGCTGGCCAGTTCGCGCCAGGATCTCCGCGAGCACCGATACTGCCAGGCGGATGAGCCCAGTCGAGCTCGCCGCGCCCCAGCTCGCGTCAACCTCCAGCGCCAGCGCCCAGGGCCCCAGGCTCCACCTCGCCGGCTCCCTCGGCACCCAGCGCAGCTGCTCCCGCAACAGCGCCCAGCGCAAAGCCTCGGGCAGCTGCTGCAGAGGTGCGGCCAGCTCAGGCTCCGGCACCGCCTCGTCCCAGCGCTGCCAAAGCTCCTCAGGGCCTTGCTGAAACTCTTCAAAGCTGCAGGGGAACTCCTCCTCTGCGCAGCAACAAGCCACTCCCCGCGCGAGCCGCAAGGGGGTCGAGCGGCAAAAGGAAAGCCGGGGCGTGAAAGCGCTCGCAAGAAGCGAGAGGGCGATGGCGCCGACAACGGCACGCGCGCCATGGACGACAACGAGGCCATTGCTCATGCAGGCGTCTAAGGTGTGCGATGTCGAACGCTTCGATCCATGTTGATGCTGCAGGCCTGGCTCCCAAGGCAAAGCTTTGCACCCGGCGGATTTGGCGGATTCGGCAGCTTTTGGAAAGCCGTACATGTTTATGGCTTGCTTTCGGGTTGCCCTTCAGCCTGTGGCGGCTTGAGCTGAAGCTTGCAGGCGCCGGACCGCTATCCCGTCTGACCAAGCTCGAGCCGGCGCTCCAAGCATTGCCCGGCCTTCCAGCATCCAGTGAAGCCACGAGAGACGGATGGCCGAGATGGACAAGGCCACGCATACGATGAAGGCGCAGCACACGCAGCTGATGAACGCAGCATAGTTGCCTCGGAAGTCTCAGGCAACTTTCTCAGTTGTGCCTTTGAAGTTGCAGGTTGTGCGGGTCAGGAAAAAAAGGTCCTCGTCGGTGTTCATCTTTCCATCGCACCAAAACTTAGCAAGCCGAAAGCATCGCCCTCTCCAACAAAAGGCACTCTTTGCACCATTGAAACGCAGCCTGTCCCAGTTCCATTTCTGAGCAGCACCCTCAAGGAACTTGGCAAAGGCTGATGCGCACTTGGTGAAAGGTCTGTCGACCGGTTGACTCTCAGCCCTGAGCCAGGCCCAACCGAGTTTCCTCAGCTCGCAAGCAGGTCTCAGCTGATCTGGATCAACTATCAAAGCTCATATTCCGGAAATCTGCGTCATGCTTGATCTTCAAACAAATACCGTCTATACTATACTCCTTGTAGCTACTGACGGCTTCTCTCTGACGCCACACAGTCAAAGGCTTGCCAAAGGAGTCTCAGATCACCGCTTCTCCGCCCAAGCGGCGCAAGAAGGCGCAGTAGTGGTCGAACATAGGAACGCATTGACGAGTGGCCGTGCCTGAGTCACCAGTCCACTTTACCCAACTCAGCTGAACTAGTGAAAGTCGATTCTGTGGGTGGCCACCTTCACAAGTTTTGTTGAGGTGCCATGATTGCTTCACATGTTAAACACTGGGAGACGGAGCATTGCTTGTGGTTCCTTTGTTGCCAAGACTGCAATTGACCATGGAGTTGCTGTCCATGGCTTCATGCAGCCAAAAGGCAAAATATCTTCGGAAACAAACTGCGCAATCTACATTCCATAGCCTGCGAGCATCCAAGCTTGAACCCAGGAGATTGTAGGCATACGAGCAGCTCAATGGACCTGCCCTGATTGATCAAGCTATACGTTCATTGCACCCTCTCCAAGCTATCCACTTCCACTTCTGGCCATCGGAGGCGTGTGCAAAGGGCGCCGCTTGCTCGCTTGCTCGCTTGCTGCCACAGGTGCAGAACTTGGAGCGCTCTGGGCCCAGCATCTCCAGCTCGTGCACCACCTGCGCCTGGAGAATTGCCGGTAAAGTCGGGCAACGTCGGAACCATCTTACAGCGCTCGTGGCAATCTGGCATGCAAAATCTGCAACACCATCCGACTTGCGCGTGGAACTGGTCACGTCCAGGCCTTGGTGCCCCACCAGTTGAAGTCGCCCGGATCGGGATCATCGGCCTTCACTGCCTGAGGCGCCAGAAATCCCGGACAAGTCGCAACTTGGCACGGCTGAAACTCGCCATTTGGACTGGCAGATCAAACAAGTCTCAAAGACTCTGCAATGCATCAACCTCAATAGACGGCCCCGTCTGGTCGAAGAATCCAACGCATGTCGAAGATCAACCATGCAGGCTACAACATTTGCTGTGGACTGTCCTCGTAGAAGAGCAATGACATGCACCAAAGCCATCATGTTTTCTCAAAAACATAAGTCGGGCATGCTCAGACTGAACAGCAATGTCAGCTTGGCACTGCGCATATGCATCATTCAAATTTGGCCAACAACCTCCCGCATGGGCCAACAAAGCTGACCATCAGACTAGTCGCCCCGCGACGCATTCCTGACATGTACTAGAGGGCATGGTCACACTTACCTTCCTCATGGACAACCCCTTTGAGTTTGTACAGCCGCAAGAACACTTCCATGTCCGATCAGTCCAAGCTCTCAGAAATCCGATTCATGCAAATCAGAGCTCAACTTGTTTCTTGTGGCGTTTTTTGGAAAAGCCATAGCATCCTCACCCATGATCACAGTTCTGTGGTGTCCCTGTAATCTGTTTGGTGAAGCGATTGCTGACCATGCACGGGGAATTCCACCACCAAACAGTGCGACACGCAAAGAACGACCATTGGCATCAAAATCCAGGTCCCTTCCCTCGAATCTCTTGAGCACTTGGAAGACTTCGACTTCCCTCCAGCCGTTTCCATTCCAAGTCGGAGCGCCGCGGCGTGCTGCAGCACGTGTTTGTAGCGCCGCGCCCGCGCTTCAGTGGCCGGCACGGAGCCAGGGGGCAACCGCGCACCCGCGAGGAAGCAAAGCGCGCCTACACGCACGAACGGATTTCAGCTCTCAGACTCTATAGCTCAAAAGGAAATATTGACATGCACGACTATAGTGATAGCAGGGTAGAATTCCTGGATTCAAGCCGTGTCAAGCTCATCAGCCCTCTGAATCAAGAGTCCAACATCTCCAGCAATCCTCCGACAAGCATTCCAATCAGCGCGCCTGCCCATGTCAATGGCACCACCATCGCGCACAGCAGCTGGCTCGGTCCGTCGATTTCCCGTACTGGCGGCTCACTTGTCTGGAATTCCAACTTGCGGGCCGTGTCATGTTGGAATTTGCCTTCTTAGATATGCGGGATGTGGGGATTTCTCAAAATAGGGTAGCCCTTGTTGGATGGTCTTAAAAGGAAACCAAAAGGAACCCAGATTTGAGAAACACCCATGTCACAAGAAGTTCAAGTCCTCTTGAGTTTTTCCCCATTATCCGGCTTGCAGATTGCGTGACTGGTCGATGGGTTTGCACACAAACAGCAACGCGAACCTCAATCTCCCATTGTGCAACAAACAAAATCCCTGACAATGCCGTGACAGTGCCTGCCCATGTTGTTCCGTAGTCTTTTCTGGGCTTTGTCAGTTTATGGGGTCGGGGAGACTGACAAGCAAATGCATCATCAATCTGCAAATGGTGCTTTGTACCCTTTTGGAGGCTGGCGCCCTCTTCTACGCGTTGCCTGCAAGCAGCAAAGCACCCTGTACTCTTCAGGGTTCCACACTCTCATGTCCAATGTAGACATGCTTGGCTCTTTCCCAACACTAAACCCGATCGAGTAGTGCCCAAAACGCATTGACTTTTGGTTCTGCCAAGATGGCCACAAAGGTTCATACAAGCCTTACTATAATCCGCATAAAACCAGGTAGTAGAACCACCTACTAAAATGGCCACTGCAGGTTTTGGGGCGTTTCTCCATAGTCTACTACAAGTAGGCAGCAAAGGCCACCCCAATGACGTCAACCCAACACCTCCCAGAAAGACTGCCCCACAAGTCCAGCTCTGCAACCCTTCCGCCCTCCCTGAGCAGAAGGGAAATGACCACTTCAATGACACACCAAGGGCATCCCAAAGCCAAACCCTTTTTGAAGGGGATCACAGAAGTGGGAAATGACCGCTTCAATGACACACCAACATCCCAAAGAGAAACCCTCCCCAGGGTATCACAGAAGTGGGGGAGAAACCCCGAGTGATCCCAAAAGACTGCGCCTGAGCCGTCGTTCTTCGCCAGCATAAAAACGGCAGACCCCAGCGCCAGCACGGCGCAGGCCCAGCAGAACTCCCGGGGCTCTGCCTGGATCTGCTCAGGGCCCCGGCAGCCGCGGCTTTCCGGAAAGGCCTGGACCAAACTCTGGCGAGCGTAAAAGAAAGAGGCAGGGAACGAGACATGGAATGAACCCACTTTGCTTTGGTCCCCCCCAAAAAAAAGGCCGCCAGTTGGATTGGTCTCTTATTTGTTCGGGTCATTCCACTTCTCATTCCTTCCTTAGCGACTCCATGCGACAAGGCGCTCACACACCGAGCACGCTTCACGGCAAAGTGCCCTTGCCATTGGCAAATGCTTCTCAACGTGCTTATGACGGAATGGACGGCTTCCTCCTGCCAACCCTGTGACCCAGTGACTGTCTTGCCAAAGCACCTGGCAGCTCAGGAAGCAGTGCTCCTGCAAGGCCGCATGGCAGCCAACCTGGGCTTAGGGAGAGTCGCTGGGCAGCATGCACGCCGCAGAAACTCACGGACAGTTGGGTGGAATGGACTCTCAACCATGCTGTGGCTGTCAACACCAGGAGTATCACATTGAGGTGTTCTTGGTTGCTGGCCTCTTCAAGCACTCCAACTTTCATGAGACTGCCCCACGACGAGTCCGCCCATCTCTCCTCCCTTCGCATTCCAAGTGCCAATTTCCCGCCTGCTGCTCCAGGCAACGCCGCAGCCAGCTGCTGCAGGGCCCTGGCCGAAGCCTCGCAAGAGCAGCCTCCCGCATGACCCGGTCCGCGCGGCCGGAGAGTACAAGCTGCCTGTCTCGACGAAGCCGAGTTTCTGGAGCTCGTTCAGGGATCCCTTTAAACAGCCCATGTCAATGAACAAGTGTCCAGCCCCCAAAGACCACAGGGGCAAACTCCCTGACTCCCAAATGAAAGAGATGGCAGAAACCAAATCCAGCGTGATTGACCCTAAGGGCAGAGCAAATGAGGGCAGAATGCGGCAAGGGGTGCTGCATGAACACACAGCCAAGAGGAGCCGACATTGTGTGTGTGATCTTCCGTCAGAAATTGCAATGGAGCAACTTCACTGTGGCTTCTTGAATTTTGGGAATGAACAAGCGCTGCCCTCGCCAGTCCTGGGCTAGAAAGGAAGGAAGAAACCCAACAGCGGCAGCTTGTGAGATCTTAGCAAGCGCGCGAGAAGCATTTCAGCTTCAAAACAGATTATCTGGATGGTCGCAAAGCTGCAAACTCGTGGCGCTTTCGGCATTCAAAAGAAAAAGTGACCTTCTAGAGATTGTCGAGGAGCCTATAAAGCTGCAACCATAGCTGATGCTTCCTGCCAGGTGAAACTGCTCATGATGAGCCAGGAAGCAGCACAACCCATTTCTGTTCGTGCCATGAACAGAAGCATCATTGCCTCGAAGAAGATAAACAAGTATCATGCCCCGACTGTGAAACTCCTAGCAAAGGGTTCATGACCCATAGCCGGTCTCAAACAGGTAGCATGATTGGGCCCTGGATCCGAAAAGGGGCCATAACCTTGGTGTGAACTTCGGTCGAGATGCTCGACCACCTCTAGCCGTTCCAGCTCCACAGCGGTTCCTCGAGAGTCAAGAAAAAATGCGGCCACAGCTAAGCTCCCTTGCAGATCTTGTGCCGTGTTCTGTCTTGGATGCTTTGCTCACTGCTGTTCGTTGGAGAACAGCCCTATTCTGTTGCCTGTGAGGTGAATGAAGACAGACCTACTTTTCCTCCCTCGGACCCCTGGATCAGAGACAAGCCTTGTGCATTTGGAATCCGGACTCGATGGGTATGCTTCGACCAAGAGGTGTCACTCTTCAAAGTTGCCCTTGTGAAACTCGCCCACGATTTTGATCGCCTTCTGGACAAGTGGAGCTGTTGAGTTGCCCCATGCAAAGGGAAAATGGCGACACTAGATTGGGGTTGACTAGTTAAATGCTGCTATTTGGAGTTTTAAGTTGCCCCGAGCTGATGCCACTTACACTTCCACCTTCGGGCGCTAAAATGCGGCCTAGCAACCTAGCGGGCTGCAGCCCTCCAGATCTAAGACGTCCAGGGGCGCCCCTACAGTCGCAAGCAGCGCCGTCAGTGGGGCCGAGCTCCGAACCGCCCAGTGCAGCGCAGTGCGGCCATCTTGATCCGCGTGCCTCCGACAGGCCACGCATAGCCGAGCAGAAATGACATCTAGTGCGGGTGTTTCTCAAAGAGGGCATGATGGAAAAGTTGATCGGGCTTCAAGACAAACAGTACTCCAAGTGACTGAAGCGCCTCCGTGATCTTTTCCTCTTCAAAATCCCTCCCAAACAAATGCAAGGCTCAAGGCACAGCCCCCATCCGCAGCTCTGAGCCCCGCACGCCAGCTTGGCGCCCTTGTGGGCCAGCCACACCACAGCCTCCGCCGCCCGGAAGACGGTGGCGTGGATCAGCGGCGTGCGGCCCAGGAGGTCCAACTCCTCCAGCTGCGCCTGGCGACGGCGCGTGGGAAGTCGGACACGAGCGAGGCCTCGAGCAGGCCGTTCCATCGGGTTCCCAAACATAGCGGCTCCCTTTTGGCGGGAAAGGGAAACCACCACCCATTTCCAGCCAGAGCCCAATTTTGAGAAACACCCATATGGGTTCTCAACACGGAACTCACAACGTCTCATACACTGAGACTAGCCGCAAAGCAAAGGTTCCGGGCACCCGAAACATCGAACTTCTGTCCAAAACCTGCGAGCGTTGAACGCCCCAGCGCACCCCACGGGAGATGAGCACGTCCATGGCCCGCAGCTGGTTGTGGGCCGCCGCCACGTGCAGTGGCCGCGCTCCACGGAAGGACTCGGCACGAAGGAAGCGCGAAAAAGAAGAGCAAGGATCTTGTGCAGATGCCTTGTGCCACCAAATGAAGGTGGCCTTTTACCTTTCTCGCTTGGGCTTTTGTTGGCTGTTGTTGCCAGACTTGGTGGTGACAAGCGCTGATGTAGAACCCACCATCGCTGTGTTCATCACTGTTGCCGGAGTACCCCTGTGCGATAGATGCAAATAAAAGTTGTTATACATGGCTGAACACCAAAGTTCCAGAACTAAAATCATTCTGGGAAGATTCGACGTATTGAGCTCGATGTTTGAGGCGACATGGGAAGCCTCGATGTGGGTCTCAGCGAGGCCCACGAGGTGGGACTGATCCGGTCTCTCGCCGCGCCTCTTGCAGCTCTTCGTTGCTCATGGCCTGCAAGGCCGAGACATCCCCCTGCTCAGCCGCCTCATGCGCACGACCTCAGTCCGACTTTGGGGAGTCTCTGAATTTCTCATGTCCAGGGTGCCTGTACATACCCCTTTTACATACCCCTTGGACAAATGAACCTCTCCCGCTTCTAAAGGGTATATACCCCTTATAAAGTGGCTTGGAAACCATGGAAGCCAAGGGGTATGTACTTCCACGCTTGGATCATGCAAAGGGTCCCATTCCTTTCCTGCCAAGGGCACTCCGGAGAGTACCCGACGCACCCTGATCAGGGGATCTGCAGCTCAGGTGCCAGGCTCGTCAAGGAGCGGCTGCTCGGCCATGGCGATGCTGAAACAGACAAGTGCTGATGCTTCTTCATGTCGTGCTGTTGCCGTGCCCTTGTGCCTTGTGCCTTGTGCCGATAGCATTGGAATTGTTACAAAAAGTATGTTCGCGTGCTTGGTGATGTTCTTTTCTTGCTACTTGCCTGGTGGCAAAACATGTCAGCGTGCTCGCTCTCTGTCTCTCTCTCTCTCTCTGTCTCTCTGTCTTCTTCTCTCCGCTGTGAGATTTCATGCAAGGATCAGCTTATTCCGCTACATGCACGTCTCTCGGTGTGGCCTTGTGTTATTTTTGGGACTTGAGTGAGACACGGCAACGTTGTGCAACTATGACGTGCTGCACTCAACTGGTGGCATGATTTCAAGCTGCTGCGTTCCGCTGCTCTGCCTTTGCCCTGTGAAATTATCTGTCCACTATGAAGATCCTTGCCACCAAATGCGCGCCAGCTTGTCTTGCCGGCAGTTGCTTTGTTCTCTGCGTTCGCCACACTCTCGGCTAGTTGCCTGCTCTGACTGTGTGAGACTCAAACTATGGAACGGCATCTGATTTCAGATAGGAGAACTCCCATCGCCCCAGAGACATAGACGAACATAGACTCTATAGATGAATGCTTGCCCCATGGCAAAGTGACCGGGTGCCCTGGCCGACGCATCCTCCCCGCCACTGGAAAACGGGTGTGGCTTCCCAAATAGTGCAGAAACCTTCTGTCCAACGGACCTGCCCCACTCGTGCTCGCGAAAAGAAAGCAATGCCCGAGACATGTTTCATGAATCACAAAACAAAGTAGGCACCTTCATAGAGGCTGCCTTTAGACTTGAGTTGGGCAACACAAAGCAAATAGGGGCAACGCCACGACAGCAAAATTCGCGGCCAAGAACCGCTGCGTTCCGACCTGCTCACATAATCTGGTTCAGCAGCTTGCCTTAGATTCACAGAAGCTGAACAAGCCAGGGCAAGGAAAGGTCAAAGCCGCCACATTTCGCCTGCAGTGGGCCTTTTCGAGCAAGCTGCCAACAGCTCACGCGTCTCCTTGCTTTCCATTGCAAGCTCCTATCAAAACGGAAAAGACGAATTAGGCCTTTCCTTCCATCGTCTTCTTTCAGGCGCGGGCATGCACATCCTTTAAGCGCAGTCAGTTCAGAAACAGCTGAATCGGCTGCCCTGCTCCATGACTGCGAGTTTATGCTTTTGGCTCGATCCTGCTATCCCACCTCTCAGGGCCTCCCACCCTCTAAACACATGACCACTGGCCGGGTCGCTGATCACAGGGAAAAGCGCGAAGCTGATGCCGCTGGTCATGCCCACCTAGAGCAACGTGACTCAAACGTCGCTCAAAAGTGACTCCAAAGCCCCAGGTGGGCATGTGCGAAGTCACCACACGAGTCTCTCTTCAGGTCAAACGAGGTCGGACGTCGGATGAGGTTGGAAAAGAGATCCGATCGGACAGAAGAAGCGGCTATTGCAAGCAGTTCAAGAATTCCTCGTCCGACAAGTTTGAAACTCCATATAATCTTGCGGTTCTTGTACTATCTGGAGACCCTGCTGACGGAAAAAAGCAGTGTGGTTTGGTTGGTAATGCCAGAACACTCGCAAGAAAAGCTCCCCTCATGAACAGGTTCCTTGTGCAGGCCCTGCCTGCACGCAGCGAGGGATGGCTCCGGCAAAGAAGGCTGAGGGCCCCTCCGACTTCATCATCTTCATCCTCAGCGCAGCACTGGATTCATCGCCCAATTCAGTTCCCTCGAAGCCTTCAACGCGCGGAAACGCAACGAAACCAGCGGGAGAAAGATCAAATGGCCTCACCTTATCCGTGCTGAACTCGGTACACGGCTTGCTCACATGAACAACTACTCGACATGAAATTGATGCGAGCAAGGATCGCACAATCCACGGTGCCCGAGTACAGCTCCTGGCTCAGAAACGCTCAGACTGGGATGGACACCGCGCTCCAAGTATGCGTCACACCTTTGCATATAGCCAACAACACAGCCCGGTTTCCACCACAATCCTGGTATGGGTACGAAAATGGGCCTTAAAGGTGTCGGGGACAAACCCAAACGCCTTTTGTTCCTCCATCACCCGCGCCCCGTGCCACGTGCCAGGCCTTTGCGGCCTCACCCTGCATGCGGGACTTGACGCAATCCTCGCACCGCATTGGTAGATGCAGGGCATCCTAATCAAAGAGCCATCTTTCCAAATGTACTTCCATAGGAATGAAACTATCCTGAAGTGTTCGTCGCTTGCCTCTTCAACCCCAGCGCCAAGAAAAGCTTGCATGTTGATTTTTCACAGCCTTGGCAGAATACCTGACAACAATCATATGAGCCACCGTGACAAACCCATGATGACGGTCAAACCCTCCTAAGTTCGCAAAAGAGCTGGCTGACTCTCTTGACCGATCCAGGAATTGAGGTGAAGAAACAATTCGCATAGCTGGGACCTTCGAGGGGGGGCACAAAAGGCTTAAAAAGTACATTTACTTTTGATCAACCCTCACATGCGAACGTTGCAGCCGACAATTTGCCCAACAATGGAAAAACTGGAGGCAATCTTCCATGGGTCAAATGGTTTGACGGCTAGTCTAATGTGTTGCTCGTCTGCAAGCTACAACTCCTTGCTGGACACCAAGCTTAAAGTCTGGACATTCCTCAAGAAGGTTTATTTTGCCCCGGAAAGTGATCAACGATCTCCCTCATGAGGCTTCTTCCTGCCTCTCTACTCACAGGTCCTGGGGCTGCGTCAGCAACACGGAGCCGCAGCCTGCCAGGAAGCCCGCAGCGCCGTTCCTTCAACGTCCAAATCGTCGCATACCCCTTCACCCATGTCCGAACATCTGGCGCGGTGTCCACAATGTTGCAGACCAGTCCAAGGGTAGCAAATCGAGTTGATCAGACAAGACTGTCAGTTGCCCCCTTGACCCACACTCACTCGCCAAGGATCAAGAGCGGGTTCTGCTTCTGGGCCTCGTCGCCGAAGGAGATCACGCCAAAAATCGCCACCTGCGAATTGGTTTTCCCCATGAGTGAACTCCAAAAAACTCCGTCTCCCCTCTATGCTGCCCTCGAATTCGCGCATGCGAATCCTGGCCTGCAGAGGCATGCGCACCGCCTGGTTGGTGCCCTGCTTCAAGATCGTGGGGAAGGCACCTTTCGTCGATTCCGGTTTTGGGCACCTTTTCGCTCTCGAGCTCATGGGCACGCGAGAAGTCGATGGCAGTGACCACTCACGGCGCTACACTGCCAATGCTGCGTTGTGGCATGCACTTCTCTCACACCCGCCAGTTCAACACTGAAATTGCGGATAGAGGACAATGTGGTCCACATGCTATCTCTGGACATTTCTTGCCTGCCTAAAAACTGTGTTTCTTGCTGGCTTGTCCTTTGCCTTCAATTTTGCTCAGTTCCTCAAGCATCCAGCTCCAGCCTCGGTAGAGTCCCATTGGGCCATCGTTTTTGAGGATCTTCACCTCAGCAACTGATTGATGCGCACGGCAGATTGAAAGGAGAGTATGCAGTCCTCCCGCAGTTCTTGTTGTGCGAGAAGTGAGGTGATCATAAATTCATTTGGGAATTGCCTTGACTCCGTCTAAGCAGCCTTCATGCATAAACCGCAATCATAGCCTTTGCATATGCCTGCATTGAAACCTCAACCACAACAACACCAAAACATCACTCGCCCATCCCCGTCAAGGCCCGCACGATGGCATCAGCAGAGCCCTCGGCAGGTTCTTCGGTGTTCAGACTAAAAATCAAGAGCAAAGTGTACAAACCCAATGCTGTGTTGGGCAACGACAAGTTCCACTTCAGCTGAAGTTTACACGTTCCATTGGTTGGTGGTCATCGTATCCTTTCCTGTTCCTGCCTTGTAGTTGCCAGTTCCACGTCGCTGGTCATCAGTGACACGAGTCTTCACTGTCCTTGGCAAGCAACAAAGCATCCTTACCATCCAGATAAAGAGGATTCCGTAGAGACCTCTAAACACACATCCACCTCCCAAATCATGCACCCCGGAAAACCGCATCACTCTTGCGCCTCATCCTTTTCGTTTTTGCTGTCAACTTGGTTGCGCCCCATCCCACCCCCGTCCCTATTTCATCCTATCTGCCAGGCTTCTCCACAGGCGTCACTGCGAAGACAGCCTCGCAGATGCCAGCGCCGAGGCCGCAAAGAACGTTGTTGGTCTGGCTCAGCTTGCCTCAGGTCGTCCGGACATTTGGACGGTGCAACCTGCTATCGGGGAAAAAACAACTGCGGAATGAATTCCGGCCCAGGCGAGGCCAGTCTTGGCCCTACTGTGGAATAGGATTCTGGCTGAGTGATGGTGTGCGTTAAGGTTAGGTTGTTGTTGAATTTTGGTTGAAATATGCTTGGCCAGAGCGTGCCTGTGCTTGTTTCTTTAGCATTGTCTGCTCAATGGCAGCTTGTTACTACACATGGCACGTGTGCTTTTGCAAAGTGCCCGAACAGTTGTTAGCTCCGTCAAGCAGCTGTCTGCACATGGCATGAACAAGTGACATCTGGCTCAAAGGGTAACACCCGGTCATTTGCAGCTGAGCAGCCAGTTTCTTGATCCCGGAAGATTTGGGTCAGGTTGGTGTAGGCACCCCACCTGGTATAAGTTGTGCTCTGGTTTTGTGATGCAAAACTCTTGTACATCATCCCAGCAAGGATGAAGGCCTCATCCGCATTGAGAGCCCACAGCAGGGCCACTCAAAAACGTATCTGAATCCCGGTCAGAACAATGTGGAACGGCCTCAGACCACTGGCCCTTGTGTTTGTGTTCTGTCCATCTCTCAAAATGAAAGCCAGTCTATAAAACAAGATCTCAGCCAAAGAGCTGAAGAAGAGCCATCTGTGGAGAACAATTGTAGGCGCACGCGTGCGCGCGCTCACACATGCCAACAAACAGGATCCAGCCTGCACATCTGCTGAAAGCCAGCTCCAATGATTCGAACGCCCGCTCCACGGTACAGCCCTTTGACGCCATGCTGGTCAATAGTCTTCTTGGCGCAATCAATGATGCCGTTGTACTGTGGGTTGCTTTTCCTTGCGGCGTTGCACATCAAATCTACAAAGCTAGCATTCAAGAAATGGATCCGAAGACTCGCTCCTGCTCGAGATGTGTTTGCCCATACCCAAATGTCGCTTCTCTCCGTTGGCCAACACGCACAACTGGCGCAAACAATGTTGCCCATGTCGCCAAGCCAGGGGTCGACTGCAGCTGGAGCTGAGTTTTGACGTACTCAGTGGGGTATGTGATCGCTGCTTGCGTGCCGCCCGTCAAGAAGCCCTGCCAGGTATGGGATGCGTTGCAAAGTCGGCTGGCAGGTTGCAAAATGCATCACAGGCGACCCAAGGAACACTCACTTTCACTCCCAGACTTGTCCGAAATCCGTCTTTACAGAATGCTAGCATAGCGTTCATGGTATGATTGTTGTTGAAATTGAGAACATGTCCATGTGATAATGGCATGCTCCTTATTCGGAAAAACTGCGCATGCCTTCCGCAAGCCGATTCGAAAAGCCCAGCCCGGTAATATTCGTTGGGTCGCAACACAAGCTTGTTAAGTCCTTCCATTTGTTGTGCTCTTTTTCGGGATGCGTCCTTGACGACGGTCTTCACTCCAGAATCCTTCTTGGTCACGAACGCCATGGCTCAAGCTGATTTTGCAACTTGAAACCTTAAAAGATCTTCCTCCGCTACAACTAGCCAAAAAGGCAGCGAAATGACATGGTGCTACATGGTGAATGCATTGAATGCCGAACTCAACGCAAAGCAATTTTGTTTGTTGAAACATGAGCAAGTTTCAAGCATTCAAGGCTACTACTTAAGTTCTGTGGCCGCGACATCAACATCCAGGCCAAAATGAGACAGTCAAGAATGCGAGATGACGTATCGTGGGACGCTGTTCACCAAGCTTCCAGTTGAATGGTACTCAATCACGTGGTAAAGATATACGGCTAAACCGATACAGCCAAACCAGTGGAAAATGTAAGGGCGTTCCTCAATAACCACACGAGTTCGAGATCTGCAGCGTGATCGCACCTGTTTCCTCTCTCTCGGATCGAACACAGGTATATGCAAGTCCATGCAAGTCCATGCAAGACCATAAGCCCCACTCAAGCCTTGAGCCAAAATGTGGCATCCATCGGAACATTTCAACCAAAGAGAACATGGACCTCAGAACGGCTTCCCAATTTAGGCACGGGGCCAGGAGGGTTTTAACATCCCCCATTTGGGTCGCACTGTTCATCACACGGTCCAAACATCACAACAAGTCCAAATGGCCACGGCTCGGACTACGAAACTGTGTCGAAACATTCTTTCATGCCCAATTGTAACGCCAACTATTCATTGTGAAACTCAGCCGGGTGCGATTAAATCCAAACACGCGCGTGAGCAGATCACAGCACAGTCCTATTCACAGAGGCATGAGGCATTATACCTTGTACCACATCGCAGTTGTCAGAGATCCCAGCTGCCGCATTTGCGCATCACGCAGCTGTCATCCACCGAGGTGGGTTGCCCAAAAAACCCCACAATCGCATAGGACTGAGAGCCATCTGCATATCACCGGCGAAAAGAATTGGCGAACAATTTATGCAAAAGGTAGCCATCCCGGACACCACGAATAATATAAGGAAATGAAAAAGCATCCATGAGGTAATAGCATCCATCCATGAATATCCGGGAAGCCATAGTCGTCGAAATATGTATATTGTCAAGAAAGCAAGTTGACGTCCCGTGGGACGCTGTCCACGAAGCTTCCAGCTGATTGTACTCAACCACGTAGAAAGGATATACGGCCAAACCGATACAGCCAAACCAGTGCAAACTGTTGTAAGGGGTATTGCCCAATAACCACAAATACACACCCGATATCAGCGGCGCGAATGAACCTGTTTTCTCTCACACAAATCGATCACAGGCGAACGTACTTCACGCAAGACCTTAAGCCCTACTTGCAACCAACAAGAACATGGACCTCAGAACGGCTTCCCAATTTAGGCACGGGGCCAGGAGGGTTTTAACATCCCCCATTTGGGTCGCGCTGCTCATCATGCGGACCAAACGTCACAACAAGTTCCAATGGCCACGGCTCCGATTACGAAACTGTGTCGAACATTCTTTCACTCACTACTGCAACGCCGTTCATTCATTGTGAACTTAGCCGGGTTCGATTAAATAAAAAAGTGTATATAGCTGTCACCCATAGAGATGGGTTGGCCGAGGGTTGGCCGAAGAAATCCATAGCAGTGCATGATCATAAAAAGAAAATGGCGAGCAATATGTATGCAAAAAAAGCCATCCCAGATACCATGAAAATATAGGGAAATGAAATCATCCATGAGGTAATAGTGCCGAACATTCATAAATATTCGGAATGCCATAGTCATCGGAATATGTAAATACATACATAAACATGGTCCTTGGACAAACGAATCACATCATCCGTAATTCATTCCATCGTGGTGAAATCAATATGTTGCTGGCGATGGGTGGGGTCTGGCCCGCACCATGCCGCACAAGCAACGATGATCCACCTCATAGCAGAATCAACATGTTGCTGGCGATGGATGGGGTCTGGCACGCACCATGCCGTAAATGCAATGTTGATCCACTCCAGCATCACATAGGTCGATCCACAATGGCCATCTTTGTGATACGACGGATTTCCTCGTCCAAGTTGTGTTGGGCGTCTCGCGCTCGGGCATACTTCTTGTAGCGCTCGTCCGCCAGCCAATGTCCCTTCCGGATACACCAATCGAGTAGAGGTCCGTCACATTTGCCCGGGTCTGTGGCCGCAATAATAGCGCTCACGTTGACCACATATCCGTCCTTGCGAAAGATATGTGCTTGCAGTTGAATGCCAGAGAGAAGCACCTGTAAACAATGTCTCCCACTGGATGCCTGCGTTCGCTGACCAATAGCTTCATTTCTTCCTTGGCGATGTCGAGGATCTTTGCTGCAATCCACAATTTGTAGAAGATATACAGCCCATCACATTTGAGCGCCAAACAACGAATGTGTTGGTTGCGCTCCTCGACCGTCCTGAACATCCTTGTTCGAACATTCTGAGAACGAGATATCGCATCCTCAGACGATGGCAACACAACACCATCACGATCAAGTTCAGTGACGTTGGGATAGCGCGCCAAGTCGTTGTGGTATGGACACGCGGGAGCTCCTTGTCAATTGTTCGCTTTTCGCCAAACATCCCCCACAACCTTGACATTTGCAGCGCAATGAACCCTGCCATGTGTTGAGCCTCACGTGGCTCATCCATGCAGATCGCCATCCGTTGGGAGTTGATGATATCTCGCGCGGCCAGGTCAGTGTCGCGTAATCCCATTTGTTGTCCTCCTCTTCGGACACGTTGCCGGATGTGTACCCCTGCGTGCCCATATCATCATCCTCGGGATCATCTCCCATTCGACACGTTGAGTTCATGATCGTCATCATCGTCGCCGGAGCTGATGTTGACGCAGAATCTTCCAGTAGAGATCAATTGCGCTTCGCACTCCAGGCATATACAGAAGCATGTAGGAATCGCAGTTGCACAAGACGGACAAATTCGGCATCTGAGGCCTTCCCAAGTCTCGTCATTCAGGATGATGGTTTTGCTGATCTCATCTCTGATCTCGTTGGTCAGAGTTTCCAACTCTTGATGTTGGCCGCCTCGAACAGCGCAGGCACGATCCACCATCTCTTGGACGTAGCGCAGATTGTCGGCGCTCGCCTCTGTTTCTGGCGATCCCTCGATGACCTTTGCAACGTTCTGAAGGAACATCAGGGCCGACTCTTTTGATGAGCCAACGAAACCAGGACAGATCTCATTCTCGACGCATTTCGAGTACGCCCGCTTGACCTCCTCGATTTCCAGGCATCTCCCTTCGTTGCACTTGCCGATCCAAATGGACTTGACTTCGTAGAACGGGATAACATCGAAAACCATAAACGTCCCGTTGAACGCAACTCCAGCTCCGTACCGTGCAAGAGTTGCACTGGGCATGTAGATGATTGCGACCGGATCCCCAACCCGCAGGTTGCGTAGCGTCGTCTTCGTCGCCAAGTTCATCTTGTCCCAAGGCGCGAGTGCCCCGAACTGCAACGCCAATCTGTTCCCGCCACCGATTCCGCCGGGGACTAGCCCGCAATTCCACACACGTCACATGCAATGCTCCTCCAAGGGAGTCACCCATCCTTGCGGAATACCTATTCGCCAATGCGGAAGAGCTCATGAATGCAAAGTCGCTGTGACCAGTTGTGGCCCGAATACACCAAGGTCTGTACCATCCATCGCATCTGCCGAATACCACGTCGACCTCACCCTGATCGTGACCCATGTAGGCCTCGCGTCATTCGGGTTCATGATGCTCGGAAACCTCGCTGCTAGGATCTGAAATCTCGATTTCTTGTATCCAGATTCCTGCCACTTGATCACTTCCATAATGCCCATGTAGCGTCTCGCTTTCGAAGTCTTGGGTGGGGAAACGTTCACCCCATGGTCGTTGATGATTGCGTCTACGTCGACCCACCCACCTTGAGCGAAAAAACTGGCTTTTAGGCATTGCGCAGGCTCCGTCGGAATTGACTGCTCCTGCTCAACTCCTTTTCGGGAAAAAAACAGTTCCTTTTTGGGTTAGGGTTTGGGGTGCTCGGGAAACCAATGGGTTGGGCGAACCAGTATCAAACCAGCGGGGGCTGGCATGGGCACACCGTGCAAAAACCGTGCAAAACGAGCTATTAGTCTAGGGTCTAGTAGCGCTAAACCGTGCAAAACCGTGCAAAAGCTGTTACTCTAGTGTCTATATTGATATAGGCACTAGAGTAATAGCATTTTGTAGCCCAAAACCGTGCAAAACCGTGCAAAAGAAGGGGGCTCTGCCCGGATTTTTTTTCCTGTCAGGCTGCCGTGCGTGTGAGGCCTGGCGGAGAAGCGCGACTCCGGGGGTCTGGCGCTGGGGGGCGGGATTTGTTTTTTGGCAGTGCCGAGCGGGCACTTTAGGGTAGGACGTGCCGAGCAGGCACCGTAGGAGTGCCGAGCGGGCACAGCGCCGAGCGTGCACAGCGCCGAGCAGGCACAGCGCTGAGCAGGCACAATGCCGAGCAGGCACTTTTAGGAGCGCCGAGCAGGCACAGCGCCGAGCAGGCACGTAGGATACTGGTTCGCCCAACTCCGTTTCGATGCTGGCTCGCCCAACTCCGTTTTGATACTGGTTCGCCCAACCTCGTTTCGATACTGGCTCGTCCAACGGGTGCGTTTTTGCTCCGCTTTTTGGGCTCTATCGCTTGGCAGACCACGGCCAGCCGAGGATTGAGACAGCTGGGACAGGCCTGAGACACCTGAGACACCTGAGACACCCACTAAAACACGAACAGAAGTGTCTCAGGTGTATCTCACCTGTCTCAATCTTCAATTGGCTGCCTTGTCATAGATGAGACAGGTCTGAGACACGTTTGAGACACTTCTGTTTGTCGTTTAGTGGGTGTCTGAGGTGTCTCAGGTGTCTCAGGCCTGTCTCAGGATTGTCTCAGCTGGCTGGGCGTGTCTCTGGGCCCCTGTCACCAGAATTGTTGGGCGAACTACTGAAAAAAAAAACGACCCTGCAGACCGGTTGAGCAGACCAGTACTAAGCCAAAACCCGAGACCCGTTGGGCAGACCAGTACTTAAAAAAGAATCCGAAACCCCTCCAGACCCGTTG